CTTCCCTGTGATTTTTGGGGGATTTGTGCCCTCTTTGTGTCCCCAGCATCTCCTGCAGGCTCAGCTCGGGTTTGGGGTTTGTTTAATTCAGTGTTTGGTAAAACAAACTCAGCCCTGGGGCTCCGGGAGTGTGTGGGGAGCGTTGCTCGTTCTGAGGCTGCTCCTGAGCGCTGCCTGCTCCTCGTGGAGGTGGCACTGCCACTGTCACTGCTGGCACTGTCACTGCTGCCACTGTCACTGTAACTGTCACTGCTGTCATTGCTGCCACTGTGACTGCTTTGGGGCTGGTTTTGGGCTGGTTTTGGGCTGTTTTGGGGCTGCTTTGGGCCTGTTTTGGGCCTGTTTTGGGGCTGGATTTGGGCTGTTTTGGGGGCTGTTTTTGGGGCTGGTTTGGGGCTGGTTTTGGGGGCTGTTTTGGCCCTGGTTTTGGGCTGTTTTGGGGCTGTTTTGGGGCTGCTTTGGGGCTGTTTTGGGGCTGTTTTGGAGCTGTTTGGGGCTGGGGGACTCCAGTGCTGTTTTGGAGCTGTTTGGGGCTGTTTTGGGGCTGTTTTTGGGGCTGGTTTGGGGCTGGTTTTGGACTGTTTTGGGCCTGTTTTTTGGGCTGTTTTGGGCTGCTTTGGGGTTGCTTTGGGGCTGGGGGGCTCCAGTGCTACTGTGGGCCTATTTTTGCACTGTTGTGGGCCGTTTTTGGGCCTGTTTTAGGCCTGGTTTTGGGCTGTTTTGGGGCTGCTTTGGGGCTGGGGGACTCCAGTGCTGCTTTGGGGCTGCTTTTGGGCTGTTTTTGGGCTGTTTTGGGCCTGTTTTGGGGCTGTTTTTGGACTGTTTTGGGCTGTTTTGGGGCTGCTTTGGGGCTGGGGGACTCCAGTGCTGCTTTGGGAGTGTTTTGGGCCTGCTTTTGGGCTGCTTTGGGGCTGCTTTGGGCCTGTTTTGGTCGGGTTTTGGAGCTGTTTTGGGCCTGTTTTGAGCCTGTTTTTGGGTTGTTTTTGGGTTGTTTTGGGGCTGCTTTGGAGCTGTTTTGCGGCTGGTTTTGGGCTGTTTTGGGGGTGATTTTGGACTGTTTTGGGCTGTTTTGGGGGTGATTTTGGGCTGTTTTGGAGCTGTTTTGGGGCTGCTCTGTCCCCATCCTGGGGGCAGCAGGGCCCAGCCCAGCTTGGGGTGAACTCCAGGGTGACCCCATTAACACCTCTGTCCCCTYTYTGTCCCCTYTCTGTCCCCTCTGTCCCCACAGGCCCAGGCTGTCACCCTCACCGTGGCCCAGGCCTTCAAGATCGCCTTCGAGCTGTGGCAGGCGGCCAAGGAAGGTGAGTTTTGTTCCCCTCAGGAGGCAGAGGGTGCTTCTGGTGATTTTTCTGCTCTCAGGTGTTTTTCCCCATGCCCCTAAATCCCCATTTTGTCCTGGCAGCCCCATAAATCCGTCATGTTTTGTCTCTGCTCTTTCCCRGTGTGGGGCTGAGGTTCCTCAGGCACTGTTGGGATTTTTATTTTCATCTTCCATGAGGTGATGAAAGCACCCAGAAGGGTCTGTCTGAGCTGTACCCCAAAAGTGATGGGGTTGTGTCTTTTTTCAGAGAAGGAGAAACGGGAAAGGTCCATCCTGGAGGCAGAAGGGACGGGCGGCCCCGGATCGGGGGATCCGGCCAGACCGGGAACACGTGAGTGACCCCAGGGATGTGGGGTGGGATTGGGATTGGGATTGGGATTGGGATTGGGATGGGATTGGGGATTGGGATGGGATGGGATTGGGATGGGGATGGGATTGGGGATGGGATTGGGATTGGGGATTTGCCCTGGACAGACCTCAGGAATGGGGTTGGGAATAGGGATAGGGATGGGGATGGGAAGGGCCTCAGGGATGGGGGATTTGCCCTGAACATGGCAGGGAAAGGGATAAAAGGGCCTCAGGGATGGGGGATTTCTCCTGGAAAGGCCTCAGGGATGAAGGATTTCTCCCAACAGAACATAAACAGGCAGTTTCCCCCAACATTTCCCCCCAAACCCCTGAGGGGTTTTCCCTGAGCCCCAGAGGGCTCTGAGGCTGCAGGATCAGCCCTTCAGTCCCTGCAGAGCTCTTGGCTCCCCTTCTCTCCCAAAAACCTCCTGTCCCACCCCAAATCTGGTCATTCTTGCCCCAGAGCAGGTGGCTGTGGTGTCCTTGGGRGCTCTGCACATCCCAAACTCGGTTTTGGGGCTGTGTCAGACCCCAAACGCTCCCCACGCTGAGAGAGGGGACAGCTGGGAGGGTGGGAAATAAAACTGAAATCATAAATAATAAATAATAAATAATAAAAATAATAAATCCCCTCCTCACTGAGGGCCTGGCTCGGGATCCTGCKGGGTGCAGAAGTGGGACAAAAGGCTGATCCCTCTGCCATGCTGGCCACGCAGATAAGAGGATTTGGCACGGAATAAAATAGCATTAAACTGGGCTTGCTTCCAGGCTGGCACGTCTTGCTCCTTCCTGGGAAGGCTCAGGATGGCAGGAATCGCTCCCAAAGGGTGGCACATGGGGATGGGGCTGCTGTGGGGGTGGGAATGGGCTCCAGGATCTGCCTGGGGATGCTCCAGAGCTGCTCCCAGGGTGAGGTTGGAGGTTCCCCCACGCTCTGAATTTCACCCCGTGCACGATTTGCCCTCAGCCCTATAAAATCCTGGGGCAGCTTTGTGAAATGCCTTGGGCTGAGCTGGGGAAATGGCCCAGGGGAGCTTTGTGAAATGCCTTGGGCTGAGCTGGGGAAATGGCCCAGGGGATGGGAATGGGATAACCTGGGGTTCATCCTGAGCAGGACTGGGCACCCAGGAGCCTTCCCAAGGGCTGCTGGAGGGATGAGCCCCCTCTGARTCCCCACTGAGGGGTCTCAGGTGCTGCTCTGGACATCCTGGATAACCCACAGCCCGCTCAGAGCTGAGATTTGGGGCCATTCTGAAGGAATTGGCTGCAACCCTTTGATTCCACCCCTGCAGGAAGCTTTGGCTGGGTCTGTCCCCACTCATCCTCTCCCTGCTCTGTTCACAGCAGCAGCCACGGGGAATTTGCTGGATTTTGAAGACCCTGCCAGGTCCCCCCTGGGAAGCAGCACTGAGTCCCCCCAGTTGGACAACAGCAGCTTTGGGCCCAGCCCCTCGGTCAACAACAACGTGGTGTGGGTAAGGGACACAGGAGCACCCCAGTTCCAAACTGGGGCATTTTCTGGGGGGCTCTGGGGGGGCTGAGCTGCTCAGGGAGGGTTCAGAGCTGCCCACACCTCACCACCATCCCTGAGTGCCCTTTGTAGGGATAAATGAGCAGAGGGGCAGAGCCCTGTGCCAAACTCATTGCTGATTGAGTGTTCCTGGGTTTGGAACAACATTTCCCTGTGGTTTTTCACTTAATTGAGAGACCCCCCCCAGCTGCTCTGTTCAGGAGGAAAAGTCATTATGCTGATGGCTTTTGTTTACTGCTCACTAAAACCAGGTTGTATTTATGCTCATGGTTATTCTCATTTTTCCCTGCTCTTGTTTGTGGCTGTGGGAGCTTGGATGGCTCCTTGGAAATGTCCTCAGTCCTTAATTGTTTTCTGGGCTTTTGATGGAAAATTAATGATGGAACCTTGGGAGTGCATCTGTCAGGAGCCTCCTCTGTCTCTGCTGCTCCTTCAGGGGTGGTGTAGGGTGGATTTTGGGAAGGAATTCCTTCCTGGGAGGGTGGGAGGCCCTGGCAGAGGGTGCCCAGAGAGCCCTGGATCCCTGGCAGTGCCCAAGGCCAGGCTGGGATGGGGTTTGGAGCACCCTGGCAGTGCCCAAGGCCAGGCTGGGACGGGGTTTGGGGCACCCTGGGACAGTGTGAGGTGTCCCTGATTTAAGGTCCCTTCCCACCCAACCCATCCCAGGATCTCTGAGCACCAACCAGGCTGGGGCTGATCTTTGAGCCCAGCTTAACCCAGGATCCCACCCCAGCCCTGCTCTGGAGCCTCCTGCCTGCTGAATTTGGGCAATTGAAGGATAAATGCCTCTGCTCCTCCAGCCTGAGTTAAACCTGAAGGTTAAACCTGAAGATCAGCCCTAAGCCTGAATCAAATGCTGGAGGCTTCTCAGCAATCTCCAATCCCTCCCTACTTACAGAGTTTTCATTATTAATTATGTTAATTCTGTAAGTTCATCACAGGGTTTTGGGCATGGTCTGTTCTGCCCTCGCACAAAGGTGGAAAATCTTTGTCCCAAGCAATTCTGGTGCTTTCCCTGGGACTCCTCAGGGACAGAGCAGAGATGAAGGATCCCAAAGCTGCTTTTAGGGCCCCTCTGTGCCAGTGCAGAGCTGCTCTCGTGTTCCTGATCCAGAAAAGCCCCAAAGGACTCCTGGAGCTCCCTCCTGGGAGCAGAAACCGCAGAGCTGAGGGAGCCAGGGCTGGGTTATCCTGTGCTCCCCTCCTGGGGTTGATTTGGGGGATCTGCCCCACCTGGAGCTCACCTTTTCCCCTGGAATTTGGGACAGGAACAGAGAGAAAAGCTGCCCGGGGAGGGAGATTGCAGAGGAGGGTTTGAAGCACTCAGGAACCGATATTTTTTAAGTGCAGAGCCAGATCTCTCTAAATCCACCTTTGTGCAGCTCTCTTAGCAACTCCTTGTCTCTCCTTTTATCTTTTCACAAAGGAAATGGATGATGGTCTCGACGAGGCGTTTTCAAGGTAATTCTCATCACTCCTTTTCCCCGTTGGGAGCAGCCCCAAAGCCTTGACTGGTGACTGGATTTTAATAATGCTCCTTAATCTAATCGGGGCTGTGATCTGACCCAGGCTGCTGCCCCATCAGAGCCTGGGCTGGTAATTGAAAGATAGGCTTGAAGGCTGCCTGATAAGCCAAATATTTTGACAACCTTTTAAGGAGGGAAGAGGCTGTGTGTGATAGGGAATTTAATTCCCCGAGCTCTTGGGGTGGCTGCTCCTCCTTGCCAAGGCTGTTCCTACAGATTCAGAGTGTTCATTCTCCTTTTCTCTC